ATTCAGATGTCCCAGGAGACTGAGTAGTTCCCTTTTCGTGCATGCTTTGCGATGAAGAAAAGATTCTACTATTTCAGAGATTCTTATAATCTTTTCTCTCGGTAATCTAGCTTCCATACGTACAGTGTCTAAAAAGATTCCCAAGTATTCTAGCTCTGTGCAAGGTCCTTCAGTTTTCTTTGCAGATAGAGGTATGCCTAGTTTGTTGAAAATGTCCAGGAATCTTTGCATTATTTCACTTGCATTGTTGTTCTGAGGCACGATGACCAGAAAATCATCCAAAAGATGCAAAATATTGGAAATATTGTACTTATTTTCTGCAATCCAGCAAACTGCTGAAGATAAATGGTCGAAAATCTTTGGGCTAGAACGACTACCAAATACTAAGCGTTTGAAGAAATAGTACTTCTTGTTCCATTTTACACCATGATATGGCCAAAGTTTGTGACATATGGGCATTATTTTGAATGCATCTGTGATGTCAGTTTTTATCAGTAGAGCTCCTTTCCCCAAACTTTTTATAAGCTGAATAGCATCGTCAAGGGTAACATAGCTTAGCGAGAATTCTTCTTTGTCTATCAGCTCATTCAAACTAGGATGCATTTCATCATTATGAGGTGCTGACATGTCTACGATAAGGCGTTTCTTTTTGGAATACTTGCTTTCAGCCACTCCAATGGGGTTTATGCGATACTGAGAGAAAGGAATTTGGTCAAAGGGTCCAAAAAGATATCCTTTGCTTACCTCCACTTGAATTAACTCAGTAACCACGTCTGGTTGTAACGTTGCTGATCTTAAATTCTTGCATTCAAATGATTTATCTGGAATGATCTGTATACCTGTGTGGAAACCCTGCTTCAAACCATGTAGTAAATAGTCTGTGAAAGTTTTATTTGGATGATCAAACAGCAGGTTTTGTAGTACATCAATATTTACAGGTGTGGTGATCTCCGAATTGAGATTGCATACCTTTGTGGGTATGAATTACACATAATGTTTTTGTATATTCCGAACGCCTGTATACACTCCCCTAGTGTCAAGACTCTTTGAAGTCGATAATCTGTTTTAGTGTCGGTGGCTTTATCTTCTGTTGTAGGAGCATAATAAGGAATTAATAAGGCGGCAAGATTAACATCCTTACCTGCCGTTATCTGCTGTCTTAGTTGGGGAGAGATCGTTTCCACTAACAGGTCAAGTCCAAAGACTATTTCTACCTACGTAGGTATTAATAGCTACGTAGGTATTTAAAGCTACCCAAAGTAGCTATTTTTACCTACTTTCTGCTTTACTTGCATTTTGTAGCCAAATGCAGGAACGGCGCAACATGGTGAGCACACAATTTCTTGATACAGTCACACTGATGATGAATATGACAAAAATTTGGCCAAAAACTGAAAACTTCGTATATTATCAATTTTGCATAGAACTAATGTAAAATTGCCGATTCAGGAAGTAATCATTTTTTGGCAAAATTTTTGTCGTATTCATCATTAGTGTGACCATATCAAAACATATAGTATTTACCATGTTGCGCCGTTTTGTCTTTTGGTCGCAAAATGCAGAAATTATATAAAGTAGGTAAAAATAGCTACTTTTGGTAGCTTTAAATACCTAGGTAGCTATTTATAGCTACGTAGGTAGAAATAGTCTTTGGACTGGACCTGACTAAAGGGAGAGATTCTGCTGCGTAGCCATATCTAGTCCTAGTATAATCGGGCCTGCCCAGTTGAGCTTCAGATCCGGCCGCCGCCGATACAATGCGTGGTGTTGAAGTCTGCATGGCCGTAATAGCGGACGAAATGTTGAAATTGTTTGATATTTCGGTAGTGGCCATATTTTGTCCACTGCTAGGATCTAGAGCTGTTGTTACACTTACAGTTGGATTCACCGTCGGCGTTGTGATCGTGGAATTTAGCAGCGGTGTATTTGTAATTTCGCTGTGTCTAGAGTTCACATCAGCAGATAGAGACGTCGAAGTCAAGGTGTTTACTCTGGAAGTCAAACTGATTACATTCTGCTGTAAGTTCTGTATTGTAGAAGTCAGCTTCGTGACAATGTCTATCAGTTCTCGACTGCCGCCATTGTTGTTGTGCTGCACGGAACTCTGGGATCGCGCACTTGTCTCTGTTCTATTAATAGACTCTTGTTCCACTAGACGTATCAACACTGATCTACGTGCGGTCTGTGGGAAGTTTATTCCGCGATTATTCAAAAACTCTTTCAATCGGGAAACATGCCAGTTTGCGGGGAGTTCTGGATCATACGGGGCAGGTCTTGTGGATCGTTTAGGTCCCATCTTACGAAGTTACGTAACGTTATTATTATGAAACACAAAGTCAGTTGAATTCGTCTCGGAAACACTAAATATAAACGTCAAAAGTTCCAATAATATATAAAACATCTAATACACACGCATAACAGGTTTTAAAAGTAATCCATATTGTGAATGGTAGAGAAAATCAAAGATAATAGCTTCTTCACATTAGTCCGTGACTTCTAGGCTCCAACTGCAATTGCCAGACTCCCCCTCTAGGCATCAATGCCCCTGGCTACTCTTTTCTTATTGGTTAATCCAAAAAATACCCCATAGACAAAAACTATTTATAGAAACACATCCTGGTTACATAAAAAATAAAATGCAACAAATTTAGTTCAGTCACAAAGGCTAGAAAAGACAATTTGTGTATAAATAATAATTTAATGTCATTAAATATCAATAAAACTTTACAAAAACAATAATACATGTACGTATTATTGTTATCAAATTCTATTGACAAGTTGTTTACAAACAGTTGTGTAGTTCATCAAAGAACACTGACTAAAATTTCATTTAAAAAACATCACATTTACATTATAATCAATTGCTGAAAGTCTGTAGGCTAGTTGAAATTACAAAAAGGCACGAGATGGACTAACAATTTATAATATCAAATGTTCTGGAAACGATACCATCGTTTTCACATGGTAAAATTATTCTGATGAACCATTAATTGGAAAAGAAAATTATTTCAGTACTCGTCTTCACTCGCGGTGCTGTGTGTATAGCACGCTTTACATACTGAACTTTTATTGTCCAATCCTCCGAGGCTGCTTAAAGTGAAAACGTTTTACCCTAATCAACGACTTATAGGTTCTACAGTATGTTTTTAATATCATTATCATCTATTCGCTTCGTACAAGCCGCCATTTTCTAAGAACAGGTACTTTCATTTTCAATTTTTGGATAGGTCGTTCGTATATCGTTTCGTACCGATATTTGAATGCTTGTATCGTAAACCACATCTTAGAGGAAAATATCGATATGTATCGGTATATCGTCCCACCCCTACTGTGTAGCTGTCCATAACAAATTTTCTGGGCAACTTTTCTTCAGAGATGCTTGAAATTCAAGCACATACTATGCTGAGTCATGTCATATGGTAGGATTTATTTTTATATGAATCTGATGTCAACTTACTATTTATCTGTGCATCTGCCTGTAACTGAACTTTTTTGTGTAAATTAACATGATAGTGTATAATCACATCAGAGCAGAGGTATTACTAGTGAGCCTTGGCTCATAGACTTCTTTTTTTGTTCAGCATTTGTATTTTATCTACTTATGTAAAGTTTTTCTCTATGTATGTGTATGTCTTGTCACAAAGCCTATATACTTCAAGACATGCAACATTTAGGTAAATATTTGGAAAAAAAATCTGTTTTTCAATTTTCTGTACAATGATTGACTGGAAATTATTATTTTAATAATAACAATGTATTATTTTAGCTTTTGGAGCAGTTCCCTCCCCTTTTGACAGCTTTCTTGTGAACAGAGGTCTGAAAACTCTTCATGTCAGGATGAAGGAACACATGAAGAATGGTTTGGCTGTGGCCCACTTCTTAGAATCTCATCCTTGTGTGGACAAAGTTATTCATCCTGGTATGTTTCTGTTGACTTGTGCTGAAAAAGTTTGAGTTTAGTTTCTCACTTTGATAGAAATTAGATAAAACCTATGGACAAATGTTGAACATGGAATGAAAGTATGGGCATGTACCTTACGAGAAAAAAAGTATACCTGAATATTTTAAGCATAGTCTAAAAATTTGTTTTCTGATGAAAATCTTCATATCAGAAAATAGCCAAAAGTGTGGAAATTGATTACTTTAATAATCACTCAGTGTTTACCAAATAGAACATGATAAAAATATTTAAATTAATAACAGCAGTGCACAAATGTTTTGAAGTTGGATATTCTGAAGGAATTTAATGCTTTTATTTTTAAGGGTTACCATCACATCCTCAACATGAACTGGCAAAGAAACAGATGAGAGGATATAGTGGAATGGTGACTTTTTATATTAAAGGAGGACTCAAAGAGGCCTCAGAATTCCTTAAAAAAGTCAAGGTGTGTGTTTTTGTTAATAATTTAAAAAGCATCAGATTGAACTTGCAGCTTTGATATAAACAATCAAACAGAAGTGTTATTGGTTAAAGGGAAATATGTTTTATTTTAGATTTTCACCCTTGCAGAAAGTTTGGGTGGTTTTGAAAGTCTCTGTGAACTTCCGTAAGTTGTAAATTGCATCTTTTGTCATTTACATGTATCTGCATGTTTCTATAAATTCTTCCATCTGACACTGATTTTATATGTATTTCAGAAATTGAATAATTTATTACTTTGTATATAAACTCAGGTCAGTGATGACTCATGCCTCCGTTCCCGAGAACGAGAGAGATAAGCTGGGTATCTCAGACAACCTCATCCGACTATCTGTTGGCATTGAAGATGAAGATGATCTCATCCAGGACTTGGATCAGGCTCTAAGGGCAGCAGTAAGCATTTTGTAACATTGTTTACAGAATTAAGATTTTATATATTTGATGCAAAGTTATGTCACTACTGCTATAAAAACCTTAATAATCAAACATCACATATTTTAAAATACTCCTGTATATTTTGAATTTTGCCATAAAATTTCATTGGATTATTGAAAATACTTTTTAAAATATTAAGATAAATAGAACAATAGAACGTGGAATCCCTCAGCCCCCAGCCCTGCACACTCAGGGAGTCACATGGCATCATATTCTGACAGTGAAGAACTTTACCAAAGAGCATTTGCATACATTGTTTAACTGGGCTTGTCAGTTTAAGAAAGCATTATCGGAGGAACAGCCTCTAGATCACATTCTTAAGGGTAGGGTGATGGCGTCCATGTTCTTTGAAGTCAGCACTAGGACCAGCTGTTCGTTTTCTGCAGCGATGCAGAGACTTGGGGGGAGTGTGATCAGTCTCGACTTCTCCATGTCCTCCTTACAGAAAGGGGAGTCCTTCAGTGACTCTGTGATGATGATGTCGGGATATTCTGACGTGATTGTTATCCGACACCCAACTCTTGGTGTCATGACGGAGGCCGTGAATTTGTGCAAGAGACCCATCATTAGCAGGGGATGGAGTAGGGGAACATCCAACGCAGGCTTTTCTGGATGTGTTTACCATCAGAGAGGAGGTAGGATCAGTCGACGGACTGACTATAACCATGGTAGGAGATCTGAAAAATGGCCGCACTGTCCATTCCCTGGCTCGACTGTTGACTCAGTACAGGGTCAATATACGCTACGTGTCTCTGGATTCACTGAAGATGCCTGATGATGTCAAACAAGATGTGGCAGCAAGAGGGATATCACAGGAGGAATCCACTGCATTAGAAGATTTCCTGTCTGACACAGATGTTTTATACATGACTCGAATCTAGCAGGAAAGGTTCAGCAGTGAGGAAGAGTACAAAAAGGTGTGTGGTCAGTACATTATCACCCCAGAGACAATGAGGAGGGCCAAGAAGAAGATGGTAGTTATGCATCCTCTACCCAGGGGCAATGAAATCCATCCAGAGTTTGACTCGGACCAGCGAGCAGCTTACTTCAGACAGGCGGAGAACGGAATGTATGTCAGAATGGCTTTACTGGCTAATATACTGGGCAAATGTGTGCCGGCCTTGCAGCCGGTTAGTATTCCGGAATTTTTATACTCGATTTGTTTTTTTCTGCTTACTACATGTATCTGTTTACTTCAGTATTTCCGCCCAAGTTATTGTCAGGATTTCTTAACACTTTATTTATCTGTTTTGTCTGCTTCACATGCTCACATTATATGTAAATTTACTGTAGAAGTACTTTTTTCCACGTGGTATTAATTTACGCTATGTGCACGGTCACTAATTTTCCACGGAAATTTATCCAAGCGTACTTAATATAAATACAAAACATATAGTGATAGTCTTAGTAATCCGCATAATTTTCAAGCTGCGGATTAAAGGAAAATTGAGATTCCGCGGAATTATGACCATGTGGAAAAAAGTACGTCTTCAGTATATGCATATGTATTTTTATACCTCCCGCAAACAAAGTTTGGGGGATTATATAGGAATCACCTTGTCCGTCTGTCTGTGCAAACGTGTCCGGTCCATATCTTTCTTACGGAGGAACATTAGAATCTACTACTCCACACAAAGATTGCCCATGACCCAGGGTGTGTCATGACCTTGACCCAAGGTCATTTGGGGAAGTTCAAGGTCACTGGAAGAAAAATTTCATAATTCTTGTCTGGTCCATATCTTTCTTATGGAGAAACTTGGTAGGTTCTCATTTCACACAAAGAGTGCCCATGACGCAAGGGTGTGTCATGACCTTTACCCAAGGTCATCTGGGGAAGTTCAAGGTCACTGGAAGAAAAATTTCATAATTCGTGTCCGGTCCATATCTTTCTTATGGATAAACTTGGTAGGTTCTCATTTCACACAAAGATCCCTCATGACCTATGTGTGTGTCATGACCTTGACCCAAGGTCATCTGTGCAAGTTCAAGGTCACTGAAAGAAAAATTGTATGATTCATGTTTGATACATATCTTTATTATGGAAAAACTTATCTCTGAAAAACTCAGCGGGGGGTATTTTGTCCCATTTGGACAGTTCTAGTTAGTCTTAGAATTAGTGCTTCTTAAATGTGCACCTTGCAGTTTGTAATATTTCACTGTAAGTTAACTTTAAGGACATTGGCAAGGTTCCTGGCTTTAGTATAGAATTTTTCAAGAACTCTTGAGCAGGTATAATATGGTATTAAACATGTTATATTCTGGTACATTTAAGACACCAAGCCACTCTCCCTTTAAGATTTTGTCAAATCAATGTTTCTACAGTTCTCAATGCATTTCCTATGTAAAATGTGAATAAAAAGGATCTGCATTATTTTTTTACCATAACGTTTTTCCAAAACCCATTTATTTCAGAATGTTTATGTATTATATACATTATTGTATCCTCATTCCCAATGATATCTAGGTATTCTGACTGAAACATGACACAGATCTATCAACACTGTTCATTATTTTAGAGTTACTTCCCTTAGCATCTAAATTCATATTCATAATGGTAAAGACTGGTTGGCTGTTTATGTTAAGTAATTTACCATATTGGAAGCAAATTTTCATAAAAATATTGGCATCGATTTGTTTTCAATATTTGTTTGCAGTTACTAAATGGTGCTTCCTCACTCCTTAGCATGACCTTATACAGTTATATGAACTGTTCTCAGCTAGCAATTGTCACATCTTTGTCCAGGTATAACTACGGTAAATTACAGTCTGTTGACCACTGTTTACTGCCTGTTCCTGAACACAGTGTACAACAAAGCCATCACCGCTTTTCTTTCTAGTTGTAGAGATGATTCTACCCATTGAACAGCTGTTGAAGGAAGCACATGCGCTTTTGTTTACCTTTGTAAAATACGCTTTATTGGTTTTCATTTCATAGAGAATTCTACATGGGAGATCACTCTCAATCACAGTTTTATAAGTGAATGAACCCATGATATAAACCCTTTTTCTCCGGATAACTATAACTTGCCAATGTCCTTAAGTGTAATTGTTCAGTTTCACGGGAAAAATTTTCTATGGATGTCCATCAGAGTCATAATATGAATTTCTACAAGTTTAGTTTCACCTTATATCTCATTTTGTAATGTTTATAAATTGTTATGGGTCAGAATAACCCTAAATGCCAGCAAAGATCAATCACACAGTTTAAACTTAACAATAATTTATTTACAGTAATATACAAATCATTAAGTACAAACTTAGCAAAAATCTAAAAATACATACATCAGAGTGTCCGTTGCTGCACACAATGTCCCAGTGAAATTATATCCCAGTAATACCTCAATGATGCTTATACGACAATGTATCCACAATTATTTATGCATCGAATTGACAGGGTATTTATACAGTATCATAAATCTAGAATATTCTAGAAATTGTAAATACATGATATTCCTGGAAAGTTCTGGACATGAATAAAGTTCAAGAATGTTCTAGAAAAAATGACCAAACATAATGACCACTCTGGAATGTTCAAGAAACTTAATGTTACTAATAATATACAAGATGAAACAATACAAATACAACACATCTCACAACACCTCCCCCCTTAAAAAGTTTGAATGTCAATGAAAACGTAGTATTAAAATAAAATTTATGTACATTAATACAAAATCTAATTTGTTCATGATACTCTGGACAAGGCATCTGCAATAATATTGTCTTTGCCTTTGATATGCTTAATTGTTATGTTGTATTCTTGTAACAACAAACTCCATCTAGTCAGTCTTTGATTCTTGTTTGACAATTTATGCAAAAATGTCAGGGGGTTGTGATCCGTATATACAAGAATTGGATGCAAAGTAACATTCAGATAAACATCAAAATGCTGTAAGGCTAACAACAAAGCAAGGCATTCCTTTTCAATGGTGGAATACTTTTGTTGACATTTTGTAAGTTTCTTTGAAAAATAAGAAACAACTCTATCTACCTTATCACTATGTTCTTGAAACAAAGCTGCCCCGATTCCAACATCACTAGCGTCAACAGTAAGCTTAAATTGCTTAGAAAAATCTGGAGTTGACAAAACTGGATTGCTCATAAGGACAGATTTGATTTTATGAAATGATTTTTCACAGTCCTTTGTCCATTCAAAGTTAACCCTCTTTTGTAAAAGATTTGTAAGTGGACTAACTACTGAGGAAAAATTTGGACAAAATTTTCTGTAAAACCCAGCCATGCCCAAAAACCTCATTAATTCTTTCTTGTTTGTAGGAATCGGGAACTTTGCAATAGCTTCCACTTTAGCCATAATGGGTGTAACATAACCTTGACCTACTTTATGACCTAAATACTCAACATAAGCATGACAAAATTCACTCTTTTCAAGGTTCACAGTTAAATTTGCTTTAGCTAAAATGTCAAATAAAGCACGCATGATTTGGAGATGTTCATCCCATGTGTCACTGTATATGATGACATCATCAATGTAGGCCTCGCATCCCTCAAGGTTTTGAAGAAGGGAGTGAATCATCCTTTGGAATGTAGCCGGTGCGTTTTTCATGCCAAAAGGCATTACTTTATACTGGTAAAGTCCATCTGGTGTAGCAAAAGCAGATATTTCTTTTGCTCTTTCTGTTAACGGTACTTGCCAGTAGCCTTTCAACAGGTCAAATTTACTGACAAATTTCGCGTTTCCAATGTTGTCAATACAGTCATCGATTCTAGGTATTGGATATGAATCAGTTTTGGTAACAGAATTCACCTTTCTAAAGTCTGTACATAATCGGTAGGAACCGTCCTGTTTTGGTAAAAGAATACATGGTGAGCTCCAATCACTTTTACTAGGTTCAACAATGTCATTGTCCAACATGTCCTGCACTTCCCTTCTTAGGTACTGCAATTTTATTGGATTAAGACGGTATGGATGTTGTTTGATAGGCAGAGCGTCACCCACTATGACATCATGACAAGCTGCATTAGTTTTCTTTGGAACATCCGAAAAGATTTGATGATACTCATTCATCAAGTTTTTAACTTGTTCTTTTTGGTGAATGTTCAAATGTCCAAGTTTGGCATCAAAATCAGCCAAAATTTCTGAGTTTTTCAAGCGGACACTCTGATTACAATCTTTCTCATTCATTTCTACACTCGTATCACTTTCAATACAATTTTGAACAGTCTTAGCATTGGCTAAAGTGGAAACTGGTTTTACAGAATTTCGGTCACACCTTTCAAAATACTCTTTTAACATGTTAATGTGACAAACCCGTTTCTCTTTACGTCGACCTGGTGTCTTAACTACATAGTTTACATCACTGATCTTGCTTTCAATTTCATAAGGGCCATAAAATCTGGCCTGTAAAGGATGACCAGGAATAGGTAAAAATACAAGAACCTTATCACCTGGCTTAAACACCCTATTTCTGGCATCTTTGTCATACCACATTTTCATTTTCATCTGAGAACTCTTCAAATTTTCTTGTGCTAATTTACAAGCATTGTAAAGTTTTTCTTTGAAATCAGACACATAATCTAAAAGATTAAGATCACTAGTCTCAGTCAGCCACTTTTCCTTCAACAATTTCAAAGGACCTCTAACTGTATGACCAAACACCAATTCAAAAGGACTGAACCCAAGAGACTCCTGGACTGCTTCTCGTGCAGCAAATAGTACAAGATGAACCCCATCATCCCAGTCTTTCTCATACTGATAACAATAGGTCTTCAGCATTGTTTTTAAGGTCTGGTGAAAACGTTCTAGCGCCCCCTGGGACTCAGGATGATAAGCAGTTGATCTATATTGCCTTATACCCAACTCATGCATGACTTGCTGGAACAACCCCGACATAAAATTTGAGCCTTGATCCGACTGAATTGCCTTTGGTGCTCCTACAAAACTGAAAAACTTGGTTAGGGCCTTAACTATGCTCTTTGCCTTTATATTCCTAAGAGGTATGGCTTCAGGAAACCGAGTGGATGTACACATAATGGTAAGTAAATACTGGTTTCCAGATCTAGTCCTAGGCAAAGGTCCTACACAATCCACCAACACTCGACTAAACGGTTCTTCAAAAGCTGGAATGGGTTGGAGAGGAGCAGATGGTATCTTCTGATTTGGTTTACCTACCATCTGACAGACATGGCATGACTTGCAAAACTCAGAAACGTCCTTTCTTAGCTTAGGCCAATAAAAATGACTCAAAATCCTATTATAAGTCTTATTGACACCTAAATGACCTGCCATAGGTGTATCGTGAGCTAAACTCATGACATCTCGACGATAAGCAGCTGGGACCACTATCTGGTGAACAACACGCCACACTTCATCTGGGAAAGCGTCAGGTGGTCGCCATTTTCGCATAAGGATGCCATCTTTCATATAAAAGCATTCTCCAACTTTAATAGCCTCTTCTGGTGGAAGTGCCCTCTTACTAAGTTGAATGATATCTGGGTCTTTATGTTGTTCAGAGAGTAAACGTTCTCGGCTGAGGATGTCCTTGCCTTGGTTAACATCATCATCACCACCAAATTTTGGTAAAAATTCTTTCTTCTCTTGCTTCTTGATATTATATGGTTCCATGCTTGTTTGAGTGCCATCAAGGTCAGATAAGAAAGTGTCATTCAAATCAATATCAACAGAGGAATTCGTCTCGTCAAAGGCTTGAGTATGGTCTGCCTCCATTTCTCGTCTTCTGGCCATCGCTCTAGTAACAGCACAGGCTGGATAAATGTCATCATCTTCATCATCGCACATAACATCTGGAGTGATTTTCTCACAAACTATAGGATCTGGTACAACTTTTCCACCAGCTAAATCGTTGCCTAGCAACAAAGAAATGCCTGGAACGGGAAGAGTAGGTCGAACACCTACGATAACAGGTCCAGTAACTAAATCTGACTTCAAACTAATTCTATGCAGGGGAACATCAATGACACCTAGCTCCACACCCTGTAATAAAACTGACCCACCAGTAGAAGTCTGCTCAGACAAAGGAAGCACGCCCTCTAACAATAACGTCTGTGCAGCACCAGTATCTCTCAAAATCTGGACAGGTTTTATTTCGCTAGAGTCACCGAGTGAAACAAATCCCTGAGACATAAAGGGCTTATAATCCTCCATAGAATCAATAGAACTGGACTGTGAACCCTGGACATCAGGAGTGTCAGAACAAATCGAAACTAAGGCTTCTCTATCACCTCTAACTGCCGCACAAGCGTGTGGTTGAGTTTTATCAAAATCATTTTTTCTCTTAAGTTTAAAGCATTCACTGATCAGATGACCCTTTTTCTTACAATAACTACAAGTAGGAAGCGACCCTATTCCAGAAGATCCTTCAAAACGTCCTGGACCGGACTTAGAACCACCTTGGGATGGAGACTGGGAACTTGTGAAAGACTGAGACCCTGAACCACTCTTTTTATATGTGTCTGAATTGGTAGAATTGCTGCTAGTCTGAGATCTTGATACAAAATTCTTTTTATGAGATAGAGCATAAGTATCAGATATGACTGCTGCCTCTTCAAGAGTTTTCACATTCTTATCTTCTAAATGTGTTTTCAAATCTTGAGAAACACATTCCTTAAACTCTTCTACCAGGATGACTTGGCGCAAATTAGCAAAGGTTTTATCAAGTTTCTTAGATCTAAACCAGTGATCGAATAAATCTTCTTTCTCTCGTGAAAATTCAACAAATGTTTGATTATCAAACTTCCTATACTTTCTGAATTTTTGTCTATATGCTTCAGGTACTAATTCATATGCTTTTAATATTGCTGCTTTGACCTTCTCATAGTCTGAACTCTCAGCTACCCCTAGTGCAGAGTATACCTCAGCTGCTTTGCCAACCAGTACACTTTGTAACATTGTTGACCAAACGTGTTGTGGCCATTTAAGATTTTCTGCGACTTTCTCGAATTGGGGAAAATATTTGTCTACAGATTTTTCTTGAAATTTTGGAACTAATCTGATATTTTTTGCTGCGTCAAATTCATTCTTGACAAATGACGGTTCTGGTTGGTTTTGTAATTTTAATTTCTCTAATTCAAAGTTCATTTCACGCTCTCTTTCTCGCTCTTCTCTTTCTGCTGCTAATTTGTCTAATTCAAATTTTCGTTCACGCTCTCGTTCTTCTCTTTCTCTATCTCTTTCTCGCTCTTCTCTTTCAAATCGCATTTTCTCTAACTCTAATTGAAACTGATAGTCTGTCATTTTGTAAGAGCCTAACTCTGATCTATCTGTATATTCTGGAAGATCGTATTTTTCAAAGATGTTTTCTTCTACTAGTTTGTTTGCAACCTTAATTCTAATGTCTTGCTTTCTCTGAGAGGATTTAACATCTAACCCAAAATGCAAACCTAATGCGATCAAGTCATCCTTTTTTAACGTATCAAAAACCTGAACACTTGGCGAACTAAGAAAGTTTGTGACCGAAAATACCATGTTGATTTTTGCTGGCTTATAGTCAAATTTAACAATTTAATTAACAAAATTCTGACAATGAACTGCAAAAGTGCAAGAAATTCTTGATCCCGGACGAGCCCCCAATTCTGTTATGGGTCAGAATAACCCTAAATGCCAGCAAAGATCAATCACACAGTTTAAACTTAACAATAATTTATTTACAGTAATATACAAATCATTAAGTACAAACTTAGCAAAAATCTAAAAATACATACATCAGAGTGTCCGTTGCTGCACACAATGTCCCAGTGAAATTATATCCCAGTAATACCTCAATGATGCTTATACGACAATGTATCCACAATTATTTATGCATCGAATTGACAGGGTATTTATACAGTATCATAAATCTAAAATATTCTAGAAATTGTAAATACATGATATTCCTGGAAAGTTCTGGACATGAATAAAGTTCAAGAATGTTCTAGAAAAAATGACCAAACATAATGACCACTCTGGAATGTTCAAGAAACTTAATGTTACTAATAATATACAAGATGAAACAATACAAATACAACACATCTCACAACATTTGTTAGTTAGATTTAACATTATGTTGTAGAATTTTAGATGGAATTTATATTCTCCCTCACTTCGTTCGTCCGAATATAAATTAATGAAGTGCTAAATGAATAAAACACAACACATGTTAAGTAGGAACGCTGCTCGCTAGTGCTTTTATTCAATTCTAATACATAACCACTTTATGAAACCAACTGTATAGTCCAACTTCATTACACTCCATTGCATTACTATCCTCCATATTTCTTACAATCTTTAAATCCTAGCGAGCAAGCTTAGAGTGCCGTGCTACCGCATGGCCTTACTATTTATACCCTAAATAACCACGTGACTTCAGAAGAAAACTTTTCGAACACATACCGCACATAATTTTAATTATATTCTCCCTCACTTCGTTCGTCCGAATATAAATTAATGAAGTGCTAAATGAATAAAACACAACACATGTTATGTAGGAACGCTGCTCGCTAGTGCTTAGAGATTCAAAGAGATTTATCATTGGGCTGATTTCCTACAATGCAATTATAACCATATATAGACAAATATAGATTCACAAAAACAATTTTAATAATCATATACACAAACAACAAAATTTATATGCGTAAATTCTTCGTTACATTTAACTGCTTTGAAACAGAATCCTTTATGTAATTATCCCTTGAAAAATCCGTCTTCCAACGACCATGTATTTTCAATAACCTGTCATTTACCCCACATGAAGCTGCAGAAGTAGCGCCACCACTACGTAAACTATGTAAACCAAATAGCTTTGAATCCACACCAATGGTCGATAAAGAATCAAGTAATATTTCACGTGCCCTGGTGTAAGAGATAGGCTTGTTGATATTACAAAGCCTGTGACAATTAGCTGATTTGAAATAACGTACAGATCTAAAAATGAAATCGTCTGGTTTTCCTGATATTCCAGCTAACTGTAAATAATGTTTTGCCCAAAACACAGGACGTAGCATTACCTGTACTTGCAATGAGAACATCATTACCTCGTCTATAAACGTCAGTTTTGCTGCTTTCAATTTGTAAACACATGTAAAAATCATGAAAAGAAATATTTCTAACTCTTAAATTCGCAAGTTCATTAAATCTTAAAAACCCCGCAAATCCCATTAGAAACATAGCACACACTCTTACACTTAATAAGTCATTTTTTCGACTGTCATCACAGTATTTGTTTATGATCTGCTCCAAAATTTCGGGCGTAATAGGTTCCTTCTTCTGAATCGGCCTACTAAGGATTCTTTTTCCTCCTTCCATAACCATATGCAGAATTTTTGTATCACACGGATTAACGCACACATTGAAATCATGGAACCACTTAATACTATAAAAATAAGCTGATAATTTAAACACTGATTCTGACAACGACTGTTGCACGAAACTGCTAAGAAATACGGCTACCGTACTCACTGCCGCAGGTAAATGAGAAACACCATGATCTGAACACCAGGTCCTGAACTTTTTAAAATATGTGTCGTACATTTTATTTGAACTATCACTCTTCCCTTTCCTGATTATGTGCTGAATGTTTGATGCTGCTGAAGAAAGTCTGCTGTCCTTTTTCATTTCCTGAATTTCTGTCCAAACACTGCGTACCTAGAGAAAAAATGTTCTCATATTAAGATTATGAAACCACCATCATATCCAAATACATGCATATCAAAATAATAATTTCATCACCCAAAAAGTGTCGTGTTTTTTAAACAATTAGTCAAATCTTTTTGCACATGGTGCTTAATTTTTTGCACATGGTGCCTTACTAATAAATCAGTTCATACAAGCTTTGCACATGGTGCATGAATTTTTATTGTACATTGAACTGCACATGGTGCTCAAATTTTATACTTTTCAGGATGTTCCAAAATTTACTTTCAAAACCAGTACATTACTCTGAAATTTTTCTGATACAAAAATACCGTTTTTATCTGAACCAGCTGTGAAAAAATTTGTAGGATTTTTATATTCAAAAAACTTCACCACAAAATCGTGAAATTTATTTTTCCTTTCATTCCAAACCATCGGCCAATACAAAGCGGATTTCCATTTTGGAATGATTAACGTACCAAATGCTTTACATATTTGCATATGAGTAATAACTTTGCATATCAAAACAGGTGGGGGCACAATCCAACAATTATCGTCAGCCCAATTTTGTGCAAACGTATCAACCCCTGAAGATCCGGGAGTCCAAAATCTAGAATAATTTTTTTTAACTTTTCTATTCTTACTTTCTGCTAATAAATCACAGGTATACTCTCCTCATACTTCATTAAAAAAATTAAAAATTCTGTTTGAAACTCCCCAATCATCATAATCATAAATCTTGCTTAAGTCATCTGCATCTGTATTCATAGTTCTAGGAATCCATTCTAACTCTAATTTTATCGAATGCGCAACACACAAACCAAACATTTCCAAAGCAAGCTGATGCAGCTCGTAGTTCATACTACCCTTAGATGCAATAAGTACTGCATTTTTATTATCTGTATACACTTTGACAAGTCTACCCGACAGATAGTTATGCAAACTCTCAATAATCACACAAATAGCTTTTATTTCTCGCCACGTAGAACTTTTTATTTTTTCTGAATCACTCCACATGTAATGCACTACCTTTTCATTTTGTTCTAAAGAAAAACCTGCTCCTGCAAAAGAGCTGAAAACAAAACTTTTGCAGGTATTTTTCTGAACAATGTAATTTTTGATCTCAAAGTGGCCAAATTCTTGTACCTTCAATAATACAGTCACGTGACATATTCAATACACAATCCCAACCAGTCCTCTTACACAATGCCATGCTCAAGTGCCGTGTCATCAGCTGACAAATATTACCTAAAGCAGGTTTCAATGAAATGACCTTGCCCACAATAGAAGCGACATTTCGCTTTTGTCAATTTTTTCATTCGGAACTTCTAAAATGCCATCTTTCAGATTCCATACAAATCCTAACCAAATCATTTTGTCTACTGGAACAAACTGCGATTTTTAGCTCACCTCAACGAAGTTGGGGGGAGCTTATGTGATACCCTCGGCGTCGGCGTCAGTGTTGGCGTCGGCGTCCCAGGTTAAGGTTAAGTTTTTTGGGGCAGTTTTCTTTTTAAGTACTTCTATGTCCTATATTGATTAGACATGCATGGGAGATGCTTCTAGTGTTTTTCATTGTACCAGTCCAAGATTCAGATGCTGCAGTTTAAACAAAGAAATGACCAGATTAATGTTTTTTGGAGCAGGTTAACATTTTTGGTGCAGTTTTTGGTGTAGGTTTCATTTCCAAGTAACTATAAGCCCTATGTTGCATGGATGATACATCTAAGGATGCATACTACCGGGCTTGCTTCGGATGCTGAATCTGACCTACATTTTCCGGTTGAGTGAACAGGTTAAAGTTTTTGTTGCAGGTTTCATTTCCAATTAACTATAAGTCTTATGTTGACCAAACTTGCATGGATGATACATCTAAGGATGCATACTACCAGGTTTGCTTCGGATGCTGAATCTGACCTACATTTTCAGGTTGAGTGAACAGGTTAAAGTTTTTGGTGCAGGTTTCATTTCCAAGTATCTATAAGTCCTATGTTGACCAAACTTGCATGGATGATACATCTAAGGAGGGATACTACCAGGCTTGCTTCGGATGCTGAATCTGACCTACATTTTCCGGTTGAGTGAACAGGTTAAAGTTTTTGGTGCAGGTTTCATTTCCAAGTAACTATAAGTCCTATGTTGACCAAACTTGCATGGATGATACATCTTAGGATGCATACTATTGCTCATGCTGAATCTGACCTACATTTTCTGCAGGTTAAAGTTTTTGGTGCAGGTTTTATTTCCAAGTAACTATCCCTATGTTGACTTGCACATCTAATGCATTACCGGGCTTGCTTCGGATGCTGAAGCACATTTATCCGGTTGAGTGAACAGGTTAAATTTTTTTTGTGCAGGTTTCATTTGCAAGTAACTTTAAGCCCTATGTTGACCAAACTTGCATGGATGATACATCTAAAGATGCACACTACCGGGCTTGCTTCGGATGCTGAATCTGACCTACATTTTCTGGTTGAGTGAACAGGTTAAAGTTTTTGGTGCAGGTTTCATTTTCAAGTAACTATGAGTTCTTTAATGACCAATCTTGCATGGAAGATACAACATACTACCAGGCTTGCTTCGGACTGAATGAGTGAAAATGTTAGTTTTTGATGCATGTTTCATTTCCAATTAACTATGAGCCCTATAATGAGCGAACTTGCATGGACGATACATCTTAGGATGCACACTAATGGACTTGCTTCGGATGCTGAATTCGACATACATTTTTCAGATAATAGACCAGGTAAAAGTTATGGTTGCAGGTCTATTTCCACAAAACTATGAGGCTTATATAACATTGTATTAACCAAACTTGCACAAATGTTGCATCAAGAGATGGAAACTCTCAAATTTGCTTCAGATGCTGGATTTTGATTACATTTTCATGAAGAAGAACTAGTTTAAATTTTTTATGTAGGTCTGTTTCAAAGTATTTTGCTTAAATATTTTCATTTTTGGAATGTACACTTTTTGTTGGTTAATTGTCTGACTTTGCCTTACTTAAAGACAACATTCGTTGAGGTGAGCTCTGTAATCTCTGATTACCGGTACCTATGTTTCTATATTAACCTGAAACCCTGAGTGATCTAACGTTTTCTGTAGAAACGCAGCTATTTCTATACAAGAATTGTAATCAGAGCAAACCCAACCATCATCGAGATAAACTACGACAGGAATGCTATGAGATCTCCAATATTTTACCAATACCCTCACAACTTTTGTGAAAATATGCCCTGCAGAAGAAAGCCCAAATGGCAAAACAGTGAATTCAAAATATTTCCTTTTTCCTTGAAATTCCCAACTAAACCCTAAATACTTTTGAAATTCGGGATGTACATCTATATGGTGGTAACCCGATTTAAAATCAAATTTTATCATGAATTGTTCTTCTCTAGCATATAACATAGCTTCCTTAATTCCCTCGAATTTAATTTTTTGTTTCTCAATAAACTGATTAACATGTCTGAGATCTAAAACAAGACGTTTTTTACCAGACGCGTTAACAGACACAGTCAAAGGATTAACTACAAAAGATGGTTCTTGAACCTCTCTAACACACCCAGTCTTAATTAGGTCAGAAATAGCTGAGCAAACAAATTCTGCATGATTTAATGAAGACCTGTTATTTTTTAAAATAATACTATATGGAAGTTCTTTGAAAGGTATAGCATACCCAAATCTTATAGTATTCAAAATAAAACTATTAGCATTAAGCTCGTCATTCCAGAAATTTATGCTTTTCTTGAGCTTGGATTTAACACTAACCATCTCAACATTTTGCTCATATTCATATTGCTCATTTAAATCAAACATATACTCAACTTCATTATTTTCACTGCTTAGAGGTTCCACTTGTGCATGTAGTTGAGGTTGACAAGGTGGGGATGGGCTGGCCTTTGAGGTATGGGCAGTCTCTGACCATGTGTCCGACTTGCCGACAGTAGAAACATCCGCCACGATCTCTTTGGAACTGGAATCCTGTATTTCCGACCCTTGAAGCCCCTGTGTTGAATTTTTCGGAGGAATTATACGACTGGTTAAAGCCACGAAAAAAGTCACTGGGCGCAAAACTTCCTCTGCGTCTTTCATACGGTTTTGCTCTGAAGGATCGTTTTCTTGCAGCACGCCCCACAGCGTAACGAAGCTTAGTGGCATCTTCGGTATTATCTGCCAAAGGGTCATCGAGATACTCGTGCACGGTATCCCATCCGTGACGGTCAGCGATTTTCAGAATTTTGTTTCTCTGTTGTAGGGCTGTCTTTTCTTCCTTAATAACTGCTGCAGCCTTTGTTAAATCAACTTCCTGAATGAGACCTTCAATTTCAGACAACTTAGAAAGTCTATCTTGATTAAACGCAAATTGAATCTTATGCCCCTCATGCTTAAATTCAAATGCTTGTCCGGACTCAGGCACGTGCGCTGCACTTTTCAAGGCATTACTTTTTCCTAGTTGTTCTGTAAGTCCCGCAATTGTACTCACAATCACATTACTTTGTTTTTCTAAGGCTTTGTTGAGTGAAGTACTAAACAGCGAAACGGCGTCCTCGTTTGAGAGCCCAACTTCATTACACTCCATTGCATTACTATCCTCCATATTTCTTACAATCTTTAAATCCTAGCGAGCAAGCTTAGAGTGCCGTGCTACCGCATGGCCTTACTATTTATACCCTAAATAACCACGTGACTTCAGAAGAAAACTTTTCGAACACATACCGCACATAATTTTAATTAGTATAACAATGATGCATATGTTAAATCTGCATTCAAAAACACTAGTGAAAAAATTGAAATTTTGCTTTTGGACTGAGTACCATTCCTGCCTGCAAACAAAAAATTTAAGTTAGATCAATTCTAGTACCAATTATAATTGTGGAATTATCTGTTATTTCACAAAAGTGGAATGTTTTCTTGAATCTAAATGTTCTTTAAACTGGAATGCAAGAAGTCAACATTTGTGACAAATTTTTTTTAATTATTCACATTCACAATTCTTTCCTTTGTGAAGTGCTGGCAGGTCTATTTGTTTTTGAATATTTGAAATGAAATACTTTTAGTGCTGTAAAAATGACAATGGTTGAAATTTAAGCTTAATTAATGAGAATGCTCTTGGAATTGTTGCAGCTAGAACTAACATTTCCTCTTGCTTCTCTTGAAGTACCATGTTGACTTTGTTAAAATTCTTCTTTATCAATGTTGGTACAACTGTTTTAGAAATTTTATTTTCTGTCGATGCATAATAATAGACATGCTTTCTGAATGGGTTGTGTAATATATGGAGATTATACTATACTTGGTTGCGATAAATAGTGTTCAGTGTCCAGTATATTCCAGAAGATATTCATTCACTTGTCTTTATTTTGATATTTTATACAGTACTTCATATATCTGAATGAAATTTGGTAAGAAAAGTCAAAATAGATAGAGGTTTAAGTAAATAAAGTTTTTATGAAAAATTTCAATTACTAAACAGTTTATACCAATTGTGACATTACTTTTATAGCAACACTCATATTTATATTTTTTGAAATATATATATTACATCAATTTATGAAAATTTATTTTAATATATAATTATTAAAAATATATATTGATTATACTACATGTACAATTTTTTTATGTACATACATGTATATTGATAAAGTGTCAAAAATATACCTCTTCACTATATTTACTCTTGTTTTGATGCATGATGTTTAAACTTACAGGAGTAAGAATTGTACCTGTTTGTTGCTGAAAATGAATGAAGTTCTGAATTTAATAATTGTTTTAAATAGACAAATGAAAAAGGAAGTCCAGCCAAAAAGAGAAAGGTTGCTAAGTAATTGTATTAAGAAATATAGGTAAGTATAAGTGCAAACTAGATATTT